GTGAGGAGATGCTATCTAGGGAAGAGTCAGATAAGAGAGGGCAAATACAAATAAATAAAATAAAAAATAAAAATAAATAAATAAATGAATAAAAAATAAAAATAAAGAAAGGGCAGACATCAGAGATGAATAAGGGGTGGAGAGAGAGGAAGAATAGTACTTTTGGATAAGCAAGGTTCTGTTAAGGAAGATTTATAATGATGCTCAGAGAGCACCAAGGACCCCACAACCTTCCTCCTCCTCCTCCTCCTCCTCCTCCTCTTCCTCCTCCTCCTCTCCCCCTTCCACAATCCTTCTACCATCCTAGCAATAATGATGTTATCTAGTTGGGTCATGAAACATCCGCAAGAAAAGAACTAAGCTTAGAGAGCACCAAGGACCCCACAATCTTCTTCCTCCTCCTCCTCCTCCTCCTCCTCCTCCTCCTCCTCCTCCTCCACCACCACCTCTTCCTTCTTTCCACAAACTCCCCTCCATCCTAGCACTGATGCTGCTACCTAATTGGGTCACGAAACATCCGCAAGGAAATAACCAAGTTCAGAGAGCACCAAAGACCCCACAAGACCCTCCCCACCTCCTCCACCTCCTTCTTCTGCCCTCTTCCACAATCCCCCCGCCTTCCTAGCACTGATTATATTGCCTAGTTGGGTCACGAAACGTTTGTAAGAAAACAACCCAGCTCAGAGAGCACCAGGGAACCCCCCCCACCAACTTCTCACACCTGGAGAGGCAGCTCTAACTCTTCCTTCTTTGGGCCAGGTGCTGCAAAACACATGACGACTGCTATACTAACATTGGAACATCCAAATGCAACCCCAAGTCGCAGATTTATAGTTGGAAATGTGGCAGCGATGGACCCACCTGCGGTAAGTATCACAAACCCCAACCAACCCGTCTTTCCAAGACAGGGCCATGCAGGAGCAACTCTGTAGGCTGTCCTGAATCCCAGGCTTGGTTGAGCCTTTGCTGGATGAAGATGTCATGAAAAGGGCTTTGGGCAATTCCTATTATAGCTCTAGCTGGAGGAGGTCTTTGTTATGTAAAATATTCTGGCCCAGGCCTTAATGGCCCACCCATTAACAAAGGTGGGGGTGAGTTTCTGCTTCTGAGTTTCTACTCTTTTTAGGATATTTCAATTTTCTAGGAGAGGGGTGGGTGCTACAGAGAGGGGTAGGAAGGCTACAGGGGTGTCGTCGTCGTGAGAGCACAATGCAAGCTCTATCCCTTTTCATCTAGGCGCGCAACTTCACAACGGGTATTGAAAAGACACAGGGCTGCGTCTCGCCATAGTGCAGCGTTTATTTTGGTCATGCCTCCCCCGAGGTTCACCATTTCCTTCTTCCCTCCAGATTCAAAAACGGGATGTGAACGTTCTGTGTGTGAATGTGATGCCGCAGCAGCCAAGTGCTTTGCCAAAGCCCCTTACAACGACGCGAACTGGAATATCGACACCGAGAAACATTGCCAATGATATTTGAGAGGCTTCAGCGCAAGGACTGTGGCAGTTA